TTTTGGCAGCGGCTCTCCTGCTTCCTCTCCAGAACGAAACGCTGACCGCCCCAGCCCTTCAGCTACGACACCAAGGACAACGAAAAGGAGCTCATCCTGCCCGCCATAGCCGGCGTCAAGGCCATCCTCGCCGCCGCCGCCTCGGACCCGAACATCCCCCGCCTCGTCCTGACGTCCTCCTTCGCCTCCGTCATGGACGCCAACCGCGCGGCACCCCCCTACTTCACCTACACCGGCGACGACTGGAACCCGCTCACCTACGCCGAAGCCGCCGCCCCCGCCGCCCCCGCCTTCCTCGCCTACCGCGGATCCAAGCTCTTCGCCGAGCGCGCCGCCTGGGACTTTGTCGCGGCGCGCCATCCCGCCTTTTCCCTCGTGACGCTGTGCCCGCCCATGACGTTCGGGCCCGTCGTGCACCCCGTCGCGGGCGTCGACAGGCTCAACGAGTCGAACGCCATGCTGTGGAGGATTGCCATGGGCGAGTCGCCGCTTCCCGTCGCGCGGGTGCCCTTCTGGATCGACGTGCGGGACCTGGCGCTTGCGCACGTCGAGGCCGTGCTGAGGCCTGAGGTCGCCGGGCAGAGGTTTGTGCCTGCGGCGGCGGAGCGGTTTTCCTACGGCAAGGCGGCCGCGATCATGGTCGATGAATTCGACTGGGCGAAGAGCAAGGTGCAGGTCGAGGCGCAGAGCATTGACGAGTCCCATGGTCTCGATGGGCAGACGGCTGCTGAGGCGTTGGGGCTGGAGTACCGCAGCTTCAGGCAGACGGTTGTCGATCTGATCAGGCAGGCCTATGAGATGGGTGCGAAGGCGTGACATGGTTTCTGGGAGGGTTGTGTTCCGTGACAAGTGCACCAACGTGCATGCAGACATGCTGCGAATCGACCTGTCGGGTCATACGAGTGGGCTGTGCAGGCCGCTGATGCCTTACCAATAAATGCTGGATGCTCTCGCAGTCGATGCTGACTCGTCTCGCCTTTCGTCTGCTGTCTTATCTACTGTATTTCATCTACGTCCTTCCGACGAACAATTGTTCATCGCGTACATAGTCTTCATAGATGAAGCAACGTCGCCGACGCTGTTCTTTGATTCGATCAGAAATTCCACGGCATCTCCGTCATGGCGGAGGTCATCGGTATCGTGTCTGGCAGCCTCGCGTTCGCCGAAGCGACCGCCGGCTCCGTCCGCGGCATAATCCGCCTACGACAACTCTGGAACGACGTCAAGGATGTTCCAAGAGCCATAGAAGAGCTCATGACGCAGATCGAAGGCCTCGACCATATTCTCTGGAGCCTAGAAAGGAACTGCAATGATGAGACCTTGTTTCTATCCTCAGCCGACGATGAAATGCTCAAAAAAAGCACACATTACTGTCGCCAGACGTTGAACCAGTTTACGCGACTTGTTGACGATTTGACGTTCGATGTGAAAGCCGCGAGAGGTTTCTCTAGAAGGACCAAGGCAAAGCTCATGGTCGTCCTCAGCAAGAGCACCCTGGCGCAGTATGAGCAGAGAATGCGAGATGCCATCCTTAACTTGGGCATAGCACAGTCGTTCTGCACACAGTGAGTGCCTCTGAGTGGCTATTGGCGAAGATGGTCTACTGAAGTGAGATACAGAGAACTTGTGAAGACAAACATCAAACTGGCCATTGAGACGAAAATGGTGCTCACACAGGGATATACGAATGCCCATGTCTCGACAGCATCAGTTGGTGCCGCCCGGGATGAAAAGTCCATACTTTGGAAGGCTGGTCCCGACTCAATGTCAAAGAGCCGATCTTTGTCAATTTGGAAACCCCGACCATTTCCCAAGGCTGGCCCGTTCGGGCGCTTCTCTTACGAGACGCTAGACAACGAGAGCGAGGTTGATGATGCCTATCAGTCTGCGCCTCACAGTCGTGAGTAGTACGCTGCAGCCTACGATCCAGAAGCAATATCTGATAAATACAACTAGGCTACGCCATCCACGTTCAGCTGCCCAGCTGGCTGTTCTGCAAAGCATGGGATTACCAGGTGTCAAAATCAGCCGCTGGCTGGCAGACCAATCTGCAGGTGTGGAACATACGACCGGATTCGAGTCTTGTGTTCCAGTACGCATTTGATGGAGAAATCGAACTTCTGCGGAAAATGTTCAATAAGGGCCTTGCTTCACCGTTTGATCGTACAGACACCGGCTTGACTCTTTTGCATGTTCGTTACAACACAACCAATGAATCGAGATACTGGTTTCGCTGACGTCTCATTGAAGGAAGCAACCATGACATACAGCATCGAGCTAGTCAAGGCGCTTGTCACTATGGGGGTTGATGCATTCGCCCTGAACCACATGGGTAATTCCGCCCTGCACACGGTCGGTTATCTGTTTCCCAGAAGGTTAGTGCATGATCCCGATGCGCTCATAAACCAATTTCTCGGCGTCTTCAATGTGTGGGACATCGACAACTTCTCCACGCAGGATGAACTGTGCTCCTTCTTGGAAAGACTGTGTCGGATCGGATGGATAGACATCGCTACCATGGGGATGAAATTTGGTCACACGATCGATGATGGTCAAAATCCGGGCGAGCGGTTAAGCAGTATTTACAGGGCCATGAGTCATTTCCACGCCAACCACATGAGGCTCGCACTTCGCCTCGGACCAGAGAACGAGAGGATCAAAGCAGTCGATGTGCGTTCGTCGATTGGAAGAGGAGTGTCGTTCCTTCATGGTGTATCTCTCTGGTACGGTATGACTTCCATGGCGACAGATGCTGATGTGAGAGGTCCAGAAGCTCGAAAGCTGGTCTCCGAGACCATTCAGGCCAGTGACGATATCCATCTCCTCAGAGATGGCATCTTGTGCCGTATCACGAACTTTGACGACGATGGGTTGTTTAGTTATGAGGTAGGTTGTAGGAACAACGTCAAGGAAACGTCCTTTTTATTGTTTCTTCGAGGAATTTATTTCTTCTCATCCAGTCATGCACCCCATGTTCTAGATTCGTCCCGGAAATGGAGATATGACCGCCAGATATTTGGAATGAGGACCCTGGTACAGGATTGGACCAGAATGCTAGACGATTTAGGTTTCGACCTATGCCGGTATGGCCGCCGGGAAAACCTGCTTCTAAAAGAGTCAGGGCAGCTTGGTACTCGGTGGAAGGTTTACGTTGAGTGGTACAGTGACAAGTATAGGGTAGTTTTCGGATGGACTGAACCTACGACGCTTGCGGAGCCAAAGCTACTCGAGCTTCGATACGGCCCGCGGCCGGAGGACTGGGACCTGATATGGGACATGGATGTCGAAGAGTTTGCTGGCGACTTTTGGGAGATGATTGATGAAATGCCTCTTCCGATGCCAGGCGCCTGGGTGGATGACTGACGGAAGAATGATACTTCTGACCTGATTCTCATATCGATGAGCGGATGACTGCTAGCCTTCCGAGGCAAAACATGCGATGTCGGCTTGCCATCTAACTCAGCAGTGACGTGGCATCTCTCTTAACGATCAACTCAGAAAGAATTATTTTCAAGGCAGATAATGATATGCGACGCCTAACCAGCCATTCCGACTCGACACTGATTCGAGCCCTAACAACTTGCCATGTCTGATATCATACCGTTCGTGACTGGTGTGTTATGGCTACCTTCGTGTCGCTTAATACACGATGAATACGACGTGGCAAGAGAGATTCAAAAGTTCGTCAGACTATACGCGATGTAAAGATTTTGATACAGAAGTAACCGGTATATTATACACCACGGATGAACCACACATTGCCACCCAGAGGTAACCCCAGCAGAAAAACGCCCCCAACGCCCCATGCTAGCCACCCCTTCTCAACCGCAAGCAGCAGAAGTTCCTAGGCCCCGGGAATCAAAACAGATTTCGTACATCATACAGCATCTCCAAGCGCCCTCGCCAAGGGACACGCTACGGCCCAATCTCGATGTGCACCGTCTCCTCGAGCAAAGCCATGCAGCCAAAGGCCTCGGCAAACTTGTTGATGCAGAGGCTGCGGGCGGCAAAGTGGCCGGGCGCCTTGCTGATGCCCTGGGCGGGCTCGGCGTTGAAAAAGGCCTTGTGGCCCCGGACGAGCAGCGGGGGCTCGCGCGTCAGCATCTGGGTGACGTAGTTCATGGCAATGTCCTCGCAGTTGAGGTTGTCGTCGACGTGCTCGCGGATCATGGCCATGGTGGGGTCGTCGGACGAGTAGTACTCGAGGAAGGCGAGGTGGACGAAGGCGAGGTTCGTGATGATCATGCTGTAGGCGTCGGCGCCGCGCGCGCACATGCGGTACTGCCACTCGCCGTTCTTGCCGACGCCGGTGCAGCGGGCCATGGCGCCGGTGAGGCGGCGGCGGCCGAAGCGGCGCCAGGCTTGGAAGGCGAACTCGAGGTCGCGCGGGTAGTAGTAGACGTCGTCGTCGGAGAGGAGCACGGCCTGCGTCGCGAACGAGGGGTCCGGCAGGAGCTTCTGGTTGAGCGAGTTGCGCGGCGAGGCGCGGTAGCGGACGGGCACGCCGTGCGCCGAGGTGTAGTTCTGCGGCGGCGCCTGGTCGAGGTTGTTCCAGATGATGACGATTTCGTGGAGCGAGGGGATGGGGTCCTTGAGGAGCACGTGCAGGGTCTCGTTGAGCTCCTTGGGGCGACGGTACGTCTGCATGGCGATGCTGGTGCGTGTGAGATACATCACGAGTTCCTGGGTATGTGAAGAAAGGGCAGACATACGTGAATTTATCGTCCCGCAGGTGGGCGTACTTCACATCCGTAGCATTCAAAAAAGCATCGGCTAGCGTGTGGTTCAGCGTGTCGCTGTTGTCGTCGGCATGGCATGCGGCGATGCGTGGGCCCTTGTGCCCGCCATGGGCCTTGTCATTGATGGTCTTTGCAATCTCCTTGATGCGGGCGGTCGAAGGTGCGCCGTGCAGGCTGAGGAAGAGACCAAACACGGCGGTCAGGCCAATGGCGAAAACGATGGTGACGATCTTCTGGATGCGGCGGTTTCCGAGGTAAGACTCGACAGCGGCTGTGTTGAGATTGAGCTTCGACATGATGGACATGCTCCTGAGGTGAGGCGCCTATGGAGAATCTGGTGAGAAGAGAGCGGATGGCGAGCCAGGAAGGCAGCCTTGGGAAACGGCGGGGTCAACGATGTGGACTCTGCCTCTTCTCTGTTGACGATGTGAAAGACGACCAAGCGACACGAGTCCAGAAAAGACGGAGAAAGAGAGAAGAAGAAAAAAGGAGACGAGGCAGGCCAAGAAAGACAAGAAGCAAACAGATAAGACGAGATGAACCAAGGCGGGCGCAGAGAGAACGATGTACGCGGGCGGATGTTGTGGAGGACCAGCAAACTGATAAGGGCCAGGGGGCGGATCCATGGGAACTTCTACTCCTGACGTTGATTCGGACCAGGTATTCTGCACAGTACCAGAAAAGCAGTGACACTAATCGTGGATCATGGGCTAAGAAAGGCAAGGTAGGTCGGTAGCTTGCTCTGAAAACAACGGTCGCCGTTCTTCTTGGTCGAGGCCCGCCGTATCCGCTTCGTCTTCTGGGTCTGTTGGTTCTTGGCCGGCGGGGGGCCAAGAGGACGGTCAGCCAGCAGGGCTATGAGAAGATGTTGTTTCGTCACCGTGCCGGGGGCTAGCGGCGAGGGAAAGAAAGGAGAAAAGAAAGAGATCTGTGTCTCCCCAACCGTCGCGGTGTTTCAATCTGTTGCTTGTTCTGTGTTTCCACATGTTTTTTCTGTATGGCCTCACCCTGTCTAACGATGTCATGGTACCCTGTCCAACTGCGATCCACATTTTTAGGGGAGTGAACATCCATCTCGCAGGGCCGTTGACGGTTTGCGATGGCTTCCCGTCGGTACTTATCTCAGCGGGTTCCCATGGCGCGGGGCATGATACTCATTTTTCTGCGGGAACACACAGAACACGTGCCTCTGCTGTCGATGCCAAAGACACGGTGACACGTTGACAGTCTCCCGTTGTACCGTCGCCTCAGAATCCCATTCTCGCCCCTCGACGCCGAGTTGGGCCTCCAAACACACTCGATAGCCGGCTTGGGCGTGATGAGGTGAGGTCAGCATCATGGCTCCAACAGCCCAACGTGCTCCAATGCTCTTTTCCCTATCCAAGCGAAAGCCCCCTGTACATCCCCTGCACAGCGCCGCCGCATCGCATTCCCCCCCACTGCACCTTGGAAGCCGGGCCAGGGGGCTGCCCACTGGGGAATACTGCTATCTCTGTATCCCGCGCACCGTGCCCGTTGGATGCCTCGATCCTTGTCGCGATAGGAGGTGAAGCGACAGGGGGCCAGCCGTGGCTCGAAATCTTTGCCTGGCCCGTTGTTGCACGGGGGGGGGGGCTCGGCATTGCCCTGGCTTGCGGAGGATGGAGGCGCGCCACGCCGCGTGTTCGGCAGCGTCAGAGGGTCCCGCACGGGGGGCCTTGGTGTCAGGCATTTCGTGATGTCTGGCAGTTTGTCGGCGTGTTGAGTTCGAGGCATTCGGTGAGCGCAAACGGGCGGACTGCATGAGGGAAACACATACCATGGAGATGCCTCGTCTCTCTGCCCACCTACCCGGCCATACCCAAGCACAGACAAGATATCGAGAGCAGCGCCCAGATACCGAGAGATACAAGAAAGATACCACATCCGCCCTCGACCAATCGCCAGCGATCCGAGAGCGTCCCCCTTATCGCCCAATCACAGCACCTCCCATCATACTCCCCCAATAGCCTCCTTTTCTCCCATGTTCATTCAGGACGCACACAGTGTCTCTGCCCATGTCCGCGCTCCCGGATGGGCGCTCCATCCATCTTGGGACCCAGCAAACACACTGCCATGACAGTGGCACGGAGTCTTGGCAAACGAGACATGCCGTCTTGGCTCTGGGTTGCCTCCACCCTCGAGGCCCGCCGCTAAGAGATCAACTTGCAATCTGACCGTGATGATCATGGCACCTCTCACTCCACCCCCCTAATTTCCCTAAAAGGAGGTCGTTATCGTCTGTTGCGTGTCGCCGGGGTTGTCTACGCTGGTAATCCACGGCTGTAGCCTTCTGTTGCAGAGCTCGGGATGACATTGTGTTGCGGTCGTCCTCAGGTGGTTGCGGCCTTCCTCAGGCGATCCAGCGCAAGCGTCGCCTGATTCGAAACGCGCCGTCTTGCTTGCGAAAGCAGCAGTCGACGTGTCCGAAGGAGGAGGAGTACTGCTGCATTGCGTGGAAGCGTGCGCATTCTGCACTTGCTCGCTTCCAAACCTCAGTTACAAAACTGCACGAGCGCCGCCTCGTCCATAATTGCCATCCATTCAATTGAAAGTTCAATGGAACTTGGCAGCGATCGCCACTCCAGCATCCCGTAACCTCCCCCGAACAGAAAAAGCTTGATCGTACCGACTCGCGGTGTCAATCGTCAAGAGTCCCCATCGCTAGCGCGTTTGACCATGCGAGAGCGCGCAGGGGAAACGCAAGACAATCGATCGCCCGGCAGGCAGAGAAAGATGGAGACGAGATGTCCCACACGCAACACATCACACAGTGTTGCCTCGAAGCAGGAGCACATCATCAGGAGCACATCATCCCAACCTTCAGGGCAAAGCAAGACGGACGCAGACGACGCAGCGCCGTGCTTCGGGTTCCACAAGACGCAGCGCCCGTCATCGTCACGTCACGATCAAGCCAGAAAGACGAGACCGCCGGACAAAGGACACAGCGTATCGCGCGTGCTCTGCCTGGTCCGTCCTCGCCGCTGCCGCCTTCGTCTCCCCCATCTGCGGGCGCGGCCAAGCTACCGGAGAAGGTGGAGACCGGCCCCGTAGTCTTGAGGACCCGTCGGCCCGTAGATCGCCTGCCGCCGAGCACAGAGATGTCCGAGTATGTGCTTGCATCGACAGACGTGACTTGGCGGGTGAAGAGACGGGCTCTATCGTCAGATGAATCATGGCAGCACTGCAACAACCCAGGCCGTGCGTGCAAGATCCACTCTGACGCCTTGCTTCATCGGCTTATCGAGACGTGGCAACCCTATGACAGGCAGGGCAAAGGACCATACTTTGGGGATAATCCTGTTCCAGCCACGTTAGCAACGAGGGACTGTAGAAACACTGCGAGGCCTCTTCAAAAGCAGGCAGGCAGCGCCTGGCGCGACGTTGTGACAGCGACCAGGTCGTTTGAGTTCTCGCGTCCCACACACAACAAATCACCACGGCGACATCACGAACCTCAAACGACACGCAACTGTGAACAGGGTATATGCATGCAGCGATATGTCGGCAACGCCTCCTAGCTACCTAACGACCATGTGACTCCGGGCGCCGATACGATTACGCTTCCCACATTCCCAACCTAGCACACTCAGCCCCCTGGTCACGGCCCATCTCCATCCATCCTAACACCCATGTGATCATGTAAGACAACGTCGAAACAAAAACGAAAAATAACAAGACGAAAGGACCTCATACACCGCCGCCCATAAAGGCAGCAAGGTCGTCCAGTTCCAGGAGCTGGCGCTCAAAGGCCGAGCAGAGCTCAACAGCCGTCATGTCTTGCGGCACAGGGTTGGAGGGACGCTCGGTCTCGTGGGTCCCATTGCCGTTGCTCGGAGGCGCAGGCACCGCCGATGGCGAGCGCTTGGGCTCCGACGCCGGCGCCGGCGGTGGGCTGTTGGTGGTAGCAGGCGTTCCAGCGATGCTTCCAGAGCCGCCGTTGATGGTCGTGACACCGGGCCGGCGGGGCAGCGGCACCGGGGGTTCGCTATCCCTTCCGCTCTCGCTGACGCTTCCGGCATGGTTGTGCGCGCTATGGGCGGGACCGTGGGAAGAGACCTGGTCGTAGTCCATGGCATCGGCGTGGCTGCTCGAGTCGGGGTTCGATGCGGCCTCGTCCTTAATCGAGACCATCGGGTGGTCGGGTCCTCCCTGGGGCATCGGAGCAGAACCGTCGTTGGCCAGCACGCGGTGCATGACCGTCAGGTGACGCAGCCACGATGCGATCAGAGGCCACGTCTCGACACCGTCTTGCATGAACCGGAGGCCGTCACGGACGATGTGGGCGGCCGTCTCGACGGCGTTGGGGGGCGTCAAGGCCTTGAGGGAGAGGTAAGCGACGGTGGCGCTGGCGGTGAAGGCGGAGAAGAGCATGACAATGGGGAAGCACAGGTTGGCCTCCTTTTCAAAGCCCGTCTCGAGAGCCGTCAGCATGGCGATGGTGCTGTGGCACGATGTGAAGAGGCGGTCGATGAGCTCGTGGCACTGCGGCGTAACACGCCACGTCTCCAGGTTGAAATCGTGAGCCGTCACATACTGCAGCAGGCGACGGCGGTTGATGAAGATGGAGGAGCAGTGCAGCATGCAGTGCAGCATGGCGTACGTGAAACCGGACCCCATGGTGATGTGAAGATTGACCTGGCCGGGCTTGTCGGCATATTGCATGGGCAGAGAGCGGCGCAGGTCGTCAATGGCGCCCATAATCTGGCTGCACGTGGCGTCGCTGAACGTCTCGGTCGACGTGCTCATCAGCATCTGGATGACGTCACGCCAGATTCGTGTGGCCATGACGATGTGGCCAAATTCGCCAATGTTGTCGACATGGGCGCCGGGAGGCAGGCGAGGGGGGTCGGTCAGGCTCAGAGTCTGGACGAAGACGGCGTTGCCAAAGGCAAAGTTCATGTCAGTGCATGGCAGTGAGACGTCGATGGTGTCGGCACCCGAAAGAGCGGGCTGGCGACCAGGGTGGCTCGTCAAGAGGCAGTCGAGGATGTAGAGCAGCCAGATAACGCGACGGAAGGACTCGTCCTCGAGGAAGCGCTCGGTAGTTCCGGGGTCGGCGTGGTGGCTATGAATGACACGATACATCTGGACCATGCGCGTAGCTTGGCCGAGGTAGATGTAGGCACGGACAGCGTTTCTCGAGCCCCACTCGTGGATAATAACGAGGCAGATGGCCTGAATGTCAGCCAGGGATGGGGCATCGAGGTTGTGGTTGATCATGGACATAGCCTTGGCGGCAAAGTGCTCTGCGGCGCCCGTGGCACCACCACCCGACTGGGCGCCATATCGACGGATCAACGTGGGTGAGCTCCTACGTCGGCATTAGCGGGCTTGCTTGCGTCAAGTGAGCCCGAGGGCCAAGAACCGAGGGGGCCAGGGCGTGATCGGAAACCCGCCGGTCGTCGAGAGACGACCGAGCCGGCACTGGAGCTGGCCCGTCCCAATCTGTCATGGGACCAAGGTGGGAATCACGCATGTCGGAGAACTTACCGAGCGGCACAGGTGAGAAGAGCGTAGACTAGGGCCGGGTCCATAGACGAGGTCTTCAGCTGACCGAGGAAGGTCGGCTTGTGGAAAACGACACAGGCGGGATATGTCTTGGAGATGACACGATCGCATTCCTGGACGAGTTCGGGCGTGAGCCTGTTGAGGGGGGGTTGGGGTTAGCCTTGGCACGGGATGAGTTGAGGATGAGATGAAGGCGGGCCGAGGATGAGTCTCCGAGTGGGGCCATGGGAGATGGGCAGATGACCGGGTGGGGGAGGGCGTTGGGAAGGGAGAAAGGTGAGCCAGTGAGGTTGGTGGTTAGGGTCGCCAAGCCCGGGGGGCGGCCGTCTTGAGGAAATGACGGAGCACGAGGGACAAGAAACCCCAACGAGAGTGCGAGATGGGGGGTAGGAATGACGGCTCGATGTTTCGTAGGCGCAGGCAACGGACCATTGCATGATCGATGCAGAGGGAAAGAAGAAAAAAAAAAGGGTAGAGACTCACTTCTCTGCGATAATGGCCTGACCGTGACGCGAGGTAACGGCGGCCGGATTCGCGACACGCGTGTCGGGGTTTGAGGCGCCCACAGCAGGCAGACTCTCCCTGGCGGGACGATGCGAGGCGTGTCGAGCCGGCGACGCGCCGCCCATCGACTCGGATGGCAGATAGCATTCGTGCATGCCCTTGGCGCAGTTTTTGCAAGGAGCGCGACCGTTCTCGTAGACGCACTTGGTCTTGCCCTTGCGGCATCGCACACAGGCGCCGCCGGCCCTCAGGGCGGTAGAGCGGACCACGCCGGAAGACATGGCTGCGATGTGCGGTGAAAACGAAGAAAATGCGAAAGGTGAGAGGAGGATCAGGAGCGTCGTCGAGGACCCGATCGATGTGGTCTCGAGGATGGCGACGATGAGGTGAAGTGAGTTGAGTTGGGTTGAGGTGAGTTGGAGGAAGAAAGAGTTGGGGGAGTACCAAGCTGAGCGATGGAGGAAGGTGCGCCCGTGGGCCGGATGAGGGCCCGGAAGGGTCCGGTGCTTGCTGTGCTGGATGGCCTGCTAGCGAGCAAGAAGTCAAAAGCCGAGAATCAGCGACGAGACAGAGTCGAGGGCAAATGTCGTTTCGGGGGACGGCGCTTCACTGCTATCGGAAACCGGGAGGCTTTCGGAGGACCAAGGTGGTGATGTTTTGGTGCTCGAGCAG